CAGGATCTTGCCGGTTTTTTAATCGGGCAAACCTGTGCAGAAAGGGCTTGTAGCTTTTCCATTCACAGATCGTGCAGAGCCCCGCATCATCTATTCACAGGTACTTTGACAAGATCTATGAATGGAGAAACTGCACCGCAAGTGAGGTGATGTAGGGGCACTTGTAGACGATTCATTTTTCCTCCCGTCCATGTTATTGAATGTTCGTACCTCAGTCTGCAGGAGCCAGAGCATTGCACCCACCATCCACTGATTGTGGTTGCAAGGCTTTACTAGCTCCAATGCAAAAACAATCATTGTACATTTATTTATTTCATGAATATGTGTGTATTTATTATTATTCTTTAAAAGGTAGACTTTGCCTTTAAACACTACCAAGGAGTGCTCGGGGCAGAGCAAGGGGACTGAAAGATGTTCCAGGTACCGTGTTTTCCCGAAAATAAAGCACTGGGGGTGATTTACTAACCTAAACACACGGACGCACGCACCAGGTGCGTGTTATTTTCACACAGCAAAACCTATTTATCAACCAAAAAGTCTCTAAAAGCATATTTCCACTAATGCCATATATGGAAAAATCATGCACATGATGCATATATAATGCTGCTTCACAGTTTAGACAAAAATGGTTAGCTCATGCATTTACATTCCTTGCATTCATCAACGCAAGCAACACAACATAGAGCTAATTTACACAACATCACCTTGCAATTCATGCAAGGCTTTGCACAACACACCTGCTGGGTGTGTACACACTACAAAGGTGTTTAGATTCCACCCATAGATCATGCTGGGAGGGAACACACTACAGAGGTGTATACATGTTCGTGGTGTGTTTATAAGGTTAGTAAATCAACCCCACTGTCTTATATTTTTTTTGGATCAAAAAAACACACTAGGTCTTATTTTTGGGGTTGGTCTATTTCTTTTTTAATGTACAACATTAATAGCTCTATTGACAGAATAGAATCATTCACTATGATTCCTCACAGGAATCCGCCTGTGACAGGAACCGGCACTATAGAGGAAGCATTGGCTTATGCGGCTCTGCTCCCTCCGCTGCCGCCTCGCTTCCTCCGGCTTATGCTGGCTCCGCTGATTCTCTCCTGCGGCTCTTCAAGTTCCCCCTTATGCCACCACTGGCCACAACTAGGTCTTATTTTGGGGTAGGTCTTATATTTTAGCAATTGGAAAAAATTGCGCATGATTATTTTTACTTAATATGCCACCTGTAAGAAAATAAGTAATATACTCTTCTATCCAGTGGCTCATGTAACAAAAAGTTGCTGTGCCTCTGCTCCCCAGATGTTACAAGCATTTATCTGATGTATGAATCTAATACTTGCTCCCCCCGCCAACTGATGTGATTCATCCCGCCGCCTCTTTTTTCCTGTAGTGACTTACGAGCCGATGGAAAGAACCACTGCGAACGTTGCTGTAGCAAGTATAGTATTTACTCAGCTAGAAAGTGGAGAAATGGCGGCTTTTCAATGCACGGACCGCCACAAAAATGCAAAAAATTCTACAGGTGGCCTATTGGCATCCTGCTGTGACAGGGTCACTTTAACGAAGGACTACACACCTCCAGCATTGGTCTTTTAAATGAAATGTTAACTTATAACTACGAGCCATTTTTTAGTATGTGAAGTAATGAAAACAACGAGCTCACAATGGGCACTTTATCAAACACAGACAAACTGATAAAAATATCTTAGTTCTCAGTAAGCAAAACTCGTAAAATTGATCTACAATCAAATGTTGAATTAAAACAGGTTTGTTGGCACGGATTAATAAAGAGTAAAATACTTTAATACTTGGGCCCCCTCCAGCGATTGTCACATGACAGAACCTTAGGCTAAATGTAAAGATAAACCAATTCTAAATCTAATCTTACTATTCATAACCAAATGGATAGTTTTCTGGCTGTGTAATAAACACTGGAGGGAGCAAGGAGTATCATTTTCTCCAGGAAAGGTTAGCACTTTAATCCTTCTGCTTTATTCATCTGTCCCAGCTTTATGTTAACATTTTGAATAGCTTCAAGGTGGTCATATGTTGGTTACTAGATTTGGTCATAGATATGTGTATGGTCAGTTGGAGCAGTTGACATCTAGCTGAAAGGTAATATTGAACAGAAAAAGTAGGCAGAAGAATTAGAATTTGTAACTGCTTCCATTTGATATACAAGCTGATAATGATCGTGGTTTACATTTCATGGATGGACTAAAGAATGGCAGACTGCACTCTTCTAAAGGCTGGATGAAGCTATAACTCTTGTTGGAGCTCCTGGCCCCCCCCAGATCCATATTAAAGACATGGCTCTGCTCACCTGGAATACGTTCTCAGCAGAGCTGCTCTTTAGAGGTGCTGTAAGCTGATCTGTTTGCGCTTGACATGCACCAGGTCACAAACTAGATATGTAACATTTTTTTCAAGTCTGTCAATGTCCAGATTATTGTTAAAGAGCAATCAAATCCCACAACTTGTGCGGACATTTTGAATATATATCCGCAGGTCCAGGGTACTGTAGACAGCTCGAAACTCTGTGCAGCTTTAAGCCCATGACACACTGCGTGCTAAGCCATGCAGAGCAAAGCAAAGCTGTCATGCACGGAGCTTCGCATGCATTGTGTGAACTGAGTGCAGCCAGATGAATTACTGCATCTTCAGCCAATCGGCTCGCGCGTAACAACTGAATGGAGTACGCATCGTGACGTGCAGGTTTATACGCGCGAGCCGATTAGCTGAAGATGACATTTTTCATCTCGGCACGCTCAACTATGCGAACTGTCGCAAGCTGACGTGATGGAGAGAAAATTTCATGACACACTGCACGCGAAGGCAGCGCGCCACCGCTTTGCACTGCTTCACAGCCCTTATGCTGTAGTCCTAAATAGAAGGTGCCAAAGTTGCAGATATTTCACCACTAAATACTCAGCATGACTGTAAAATAAAAGCCAGTTTCTGCATTGTTGCAATTTCTTCTACAACAAAGTACATGACAGATTTGCTTGAAGCCCAGAGTAACCCACTTTTTCAGATCATACCCCATGCATTAATGGCTTCGCTCAGAAGTCACTGTGGCCTTTCTGAAGTTTTAAAATTAGGGAATCTAGACTTAATGAAACCTACACTGTGAGACTATGAGGCTGTTGTTGACCTCTGCCTCTGAAAATGCTAGTTGATGAATATCGGATTGCCCTTTGTTTCTGAAAATGCTAGTTGAAAAAATATGGGGCTGTCATTAACCTCTGCTTCTGCAAATGCTAGTTGCCTGGCTGATACCAGGAACACTTTCTAGGAAACTAGAAAACTGCCCAGGAATCATAAGAAGTTAGAACACACACTGACCAGGAATGATTATCAATAGTTCTGACATGCTGCATATTTGTTCTAGGCCGAGAAAATGATTGAAACCAGAAAAAGCCAGGTACCTCTCATTGCAGATTATTAAAACACATCTCGATGTTCATCATCCCAGCTAGTCCCTAGATAAATTGAGAGGCATTTTCCAACAGGGACAAGGCAGCAATATAAACCTGATGGGCAGGGCCATCCCTTTAATGAGGAAGCCTGTGGTTGTTGCCTCAGGCGGCTTCTCTTTGGAGATGCTCTGGCTGGCCAGGTGTGCAGAGGGTGGCATCAGCCATCCACCAACCATCATGTCCCCAAATGTAGCCAACGACCCCGCCCCACTCCCACACAAAGACACACACACACGCTGCCTCAGGTGGCAAGAAGTGTAGGGACTCCACTGCTGAAGGGGGATCCAACTTTTCACTTGAGTGTGGAGATGATTGACTATTTGTTAATGGCCTGTGACAATTTAGTAGTGTATGAGTGAAAACTTTATTTTTCAGCTTGAATGAGGATTTTTTGTCTCACTTTCATTTTGAGTATCAGAGGCCACACACAGAGAGAGTAAATCTCCCAAGAAGAAACACAGAGCAATGAAAACCTTACAGGTGTTCTAACATCTTACTACTCTATAACTAGAAAATGGCTTTAGATACATTTTAATAAACTGCATATGACAAAAATCACAGACAAGCACAACAAAGCAAGCCAGTCTCCTGCTCCCTGCTCCTCACTCCTCCACCGTCTTTCCTTCTTCTAGCTACCCTGTTTCCCCGAAAATAAGACCTACCCTGAAAGTAAGACCTAGCACTATTTTTCAAGATTCCTGTAATATAAGACCTACCCCGAAAATAAGACCTAGATTGGTGGTAGCATGTGAGGGGGAACGTGAAGAGCAGGAGAGATGGTGTCAGTCTGCAAGGACATGTTGTATTAAGGGGATGACGGGGGACTCCCTCCGGCCAGTGCAGTGACAGGGAGCACTCCAGTACCCTACTTCACCAACTGCTGTCCCCCTGAAGGCACTGCTTAATGTAATGGTACTGTACTGTGAACCGGTAAATGGTACTGTTCTTTACCGCGCTGTCCACTGTCTGATGTCCCCATTGCTGCACCACTGGTACCACTGTCCCTGGTGCCAAAGGAAGCCTGCGCTGCATAAAGCAAGGCTTCGGCGGCGGAGGGAGCAGAGCCGCATTAGCTGATATTCCTCTATAGCGCCAGTTACTGTGACAGGTGGAGTGATACCACAAAACTTTAAATTGTTGTACATTTTGTTGCACAGTAAAAAATTTAAAAAATAAGACATCCCCTGAAAATAAGACCTAGTGTGTTTTTGGGGGGCAAAGAAAATATAAGACAGTGTCTTATTTTCGGGGAAACACGGTAGTAGATGGATTGTTGCTGCAGACTGTTCTGCCCTTGT